TTCAGTTTGTTCTGAATTGCATATGACCTTGGTGCTGCATAATGTTGATTTTATAGGACTTTGATCTTAGTTTGGTCAGTGGCAGTTACTGATTTACACAAATTCTTAACATCTGTAATGAACACTGGACAATAACATTCATAGTCAATATTCTTTTGAAAGTATTGCAAAAAGATCAGTGTTTCACGTGACATACTTGGTCCATTATGTGTATGTGTGCCTGTTTCCACGTTATATTTTGTACAGTAAAAGAGAAAATATATTTTGGACTTCTGTCATGCAGGATTAGTGAATCAGTAATAAAAATTTTGGTAGGACAGAAGTAAGCAGTAGGTCTGTCTTTGAGCAGCTTATGGTTATTGTTAGTTACCCCATAGCCCAAATTCAGTGAGCATATGGTAATGTTATCATTTATTAAAATTTCCCACAAACATGTAAATATTCTCCCAAGCGCCTCTAGCCACAATCTGTGAGCTCGCAACATAACCTGGGGTAAAGTCACAGTTACAGGGTTTGTCAGAGTAGCTGTCAGCTGGTGGTTAGTGGCAAACCCTTCCCCTGAGTTCAGTTAGTAATAGCAAGTAAAGAAATACATCATTCCATAGTAATGGTTTAATATGATGCAGGGAACTTCGATTTCTCACAGGATTTTCTATAAAGAGAGAGGAGGGGAAAATTATTCCTAAAATGACATCTGAAACCATTGCATACTCTAGGGCATAGCTGTGTGAGGTATATTGCCCAAAACAGATCTCACCAAAAAGAAGATATTTAAAAAGGGATGGGGAAAAAACTCTACACTCCCACTTAGGTTGCATGGAATCAATAACTCTTAATGCATCTGCTCTATTATCTGAGCAGCTGTATAGAGTTAATTGAATTAAATTAGTTTTTCATTGAATTCTATTTTGTAATATGCTCATTCTCATTTAAAGTGCTTTGTCCATTTTTGTGGTGGACCATTAAGATGTCTTAAAATAATTCTGTTAAGAATGGCAGAGAAATGCATCCCTATCAGTGTTTCTGGGGATATTGGTGCTGGGATCAAATTTTAGTTGGTGACTAACTTTTAATTCCCTTCCTTTTATCTTCAGGTATGGCTTTCCCAACGAAAGGCTAAGAATTCAAGAACGGTCTTAACTGATCCTTCATCAGATCTGAATTTTAACAAATGCTTAGTTTCAGCAGCCTTGAAAAAAGCTTGGCCTAGCAGTCAGTGACTTACTTGCACTTTTTTGCACATAGATTTAAAATAAAATAGTGCTATTAATTTGGATTAGCTCCTATTATTACAGAGTAGCTGTAATTTATGAGTGTATAGTAGTATACTGACTGCTAAGTGTTCTATATAGTGTTTGCTTTACTAATCACCTAATTCATTGCAGTTCATACTTATTGACTTAAAGTTTAAAATCACAATCTGTAGGCTTGAAGAATTGCTTTAAAACTTTTTTTTGTGGTAGAACTGGAAGTGATCTTAAGGTTAGCAAATAATTGTCAGTATTAAAAGATGGCATTATTTAAAATAGTCCTGCTGCAAGAAAGGCACTTCAGTGAATATGTGACTAGTAAAGCTTAAATGTGCTTGGGTCTAATAGATTTCATGAAATACTGTAATTTTGGGATTGTAAATGAATGGATTAAACAGGTTAAGGCCAGGATGTTTAAAATAAATGCAATATTAATCTGCACAGATAAACTTCTTTTTAAGATTAAGATTTGAAACTACTGTGCCTTAACTTGTTGCTTTTCTTAAAATGAACTTTTGTAGTTAATGATCATTTAAATCCATTTTGATAAACCTGCTGTTAATGTTTTCTGTGAATGTTTTCTAACTTTGTCTTGGTAATTGCAATTTAACTAGGTGCGGTGGCTACTAAAGTTCGAAGGCACGATATGCGTGTCCATCCTTACCAAAGGATTGTGACCGCAGACCGAGGTTAGTTTAGTTCTGCAGTTCTTGTTTGTAAGAAGTGCTTTGAGTGTACATGAGATTTGCAACACCACAGCTGGTTAACCAAATACCCCATTTTGACCCGTTCATTATTTTTCTCAAAAATCTGAACGGTTAATATTTTAAAGCTTTTGGAATACTTGCAGTTTTAAAGGCATTTTGTAAACTTGGCTTTCCCAGCTCAATTAAATACATATACTTTGATATTTTTAATAGAAATGCTTTAAAACTGATTCAGTTTAAAAATTAAAGATGCATCTGCATCAGGAAACACTGTGAAATCAGTGCTTCAATAATTAATTTGGTTGTATTCCACTCCTGTCCCCCCAATTCGTTCTTTTAATTGGTGTGGAAATATCAGGTTGGTGTTGCAAAATAAAATGAATGGATGGTTGCTTAATGAGAAAGAAGTAAAGGAATAAATGCCTCCTGTCTGTGTCTGGAGAAATCTGAAGATTTAGATTCCTTTTTTCCCAATAAACTATTGAGCCACTGTACTGTATATTATGAGGAGGATGCATGTTCTCAGATACCTGACTGAATTCAGAAAGGTAAGGGCTGTGAAGATAACTTCAAAAGTTGTTTGAGTTTGAATTACTAAGGGTGGAGGAAGGGAGGGTGTTTTGGTTTTCTTTGCCAAAATCTATTTCTTGGTGTTTGCCTTTTGCTGCTAAAATGTGTAACCTGAAGGAGAAGCAACTTTTGAAGTCCTGTTGGTGAGATGACATCCAATATTTGGGCATGTCTCTTTAACCCTTGAATGGAAAGTAAATCTTCATTTTTCTCCTGTTTCTCAAGTGTCATGCCTTTGGACCCCTGAATGAACTATTCAAGCTTATTGAGAAAACTGATATTTTCGGTTTATTGACATTGACTAGGAAGCAGTGTGTGGGATGAATTCTTATCCCATCCCTGCAGCTGACTCACTGTGTGTTTCGGCAACTCATTTAATCCTCTCTGTGTATGTTTTCCATCTGTAAAAAAAGGATAATAATACTTCCCTACCTCACAGGGGTGTTGTGGGGGTTCTTGTTTTGTACAGGGCTTTGAAGCTGCAAAGCATTATGTGCCAAGTATTATTATTCTGCTCTCATCCAAATCAATGTTGTGCAGGTTTTCATGATATTGTAATATTCAAAAGCCAAATTCTGGTGACAGATCTGACATCTCCTAACATTGACTACACTTCACTTCTCACAACCTTCCATAAATTAACTACAACAAAGAATACAGATTTTGGTCAATACAGTAAAAAGGGCCCTCCTGGATATTTTCTGTATTTATGGAACACACTTCTTTCATTTATCTTAAGCTTTACAGAGAGTGTGAAGCTGATACAAGACACTACTTTAGTTTTCTATATGATTGTTTTACATCGCTATTTGCAGCCTGTTGGCTTGTTCTCATTTTTTGAGAACTCTTCAGTGGGACAACAGGGTATAATCAGAGTAACATCATAGCCCATGTTTACACCCACCCCCACCCCTCCAAAAAAAGAGGGGAAAAAAAGAAATAGAAAACAGAAAATAGAAAAAATTAACATCTCGGTCAAGAGTAGTGGGTGGTAAAGATTTGGTTGTCTTCGAAAGTTATACCTGATGTTACAAAAAAAATCAGTTGTTGCTAATGGTCTTTCATGATCTGTAATGGTAGTTTCAGGTGACAGGTGAGGCTGCCTTTTTATTTAATTGGATATTTTTCTGAGACTACTAGTAAATATATTGATAAAGTGAGGGGCGCAGGGGGACATTGTCAGGGAGAAAATACCAATTTGTAGTTCATCATGGTAATGTTTACTCCATATATTTTAAATATTTTTGAAGGGCTTAGATGTTTCATCTGGATCACTTACAAGTAACTGAAATTAATCATTGATATATTTTCACCTTCTTTTAAAATACAGCCGTTTTCTGATAGAACAACTTTTATCTCTAGAAATATTTTAAACCCACTGTCTTAAGTAGATAAATAAATACATATCTTAGCTCCTGTGGAATAAGTCATGCATACCTCTCTTATGAAAACCATGCTGATATTTCAGGAGAACATTATTTTAAAGTCTTACCTAAATAATCCCAGTGTGTTTTAAGAAACTTAGACCAAGGTAATTTTACAGCTGAACTTCGTTGTATTGTGAATTTGAAATCCCAGGGTATCACTGCACTCATTTAACAGTTTCACAAAAAGTTTCAGAGAGAAATTTGTTCAGCAATAGAAATTTCTTTTAATGTATTAAAATTATTTTGTAGAATTAAAATACTACCAGTATTTACCGTATTCACCTATTTGGTTGTTCTGTCACCAAGATAATTCTATAGTCGTGGCCATGAAAAACAATGTCAGCAAACCGAAATACTTTTTTTTTTTTCAATGCAGAGTTTTTTTTTTACATAGTTAAATGTCTCTAAATCTATTTTCTCATTTATTGGGTCTAAAATTGTGGGGTTTTTTTAATTCTAAATTGACTTTCAGATGACTTTATAGTACTACTGCATTCACTTTTTAAGTAGTTTTTTTATTCTTTGAATAGTTTTGGGGTTTTGTTGTTTGGGTTTTTTTTCAGATATAAGCACTGCATTTAAAGCAAGAATCCCCAAATGTGTAAATGTTTTACAACTAAGCATTTAGAATTGGTAAAGGGTTGGAAAATATAGCTCATTTTAACTCAGAATAAACCCCCAGTTTATAAATAATACAAAATTGAATTTGATGCATATAACAGAGAGACTGACTGATTTAATTGTAATAAACTGTAAATGGTGTTGCACAGTTGACAAACCTGTGTGTACTGTAGAAGGCCAGAGACTTGGCAGAGGATGTATCACAGGTGTACTGGTATTTTTTAAAGGTAGCTTGCTTTGATTTTAAACTCCACAAGAATATTAATGCTGAGAATTTTCTCAAATTTTATATCCAAACCAATTGTCACATGATTTATATATAAAATTTTAATACCATTTAATCAAAAGTATAATCAGTATCAAAATGCTTTAAGAGCCTGTTTCTAGTATACCTGTAAAGTGGTAAGATTGTGCCACATAAAATATTTATTTTTTCTTCTTTTTGAAACAGCTGTTTTAATTTCAACAAATCCCACTTTGCATGATTCTGAAAAAAATTCAGGGAGCGCTTGGTCTCATTTATGTTACAGTAGTGATTTTTTTGTAGTGTTATGAACTGTATCCTAAATGATAGGCCATTTTTATTATGTGAAAGTAAATGAACCCACAAGAAAGATTGTTAAATCAATGCTATCTGTGAATATTACACCTACTGGACTTCATTTTATGGAATGGCACAAATCTGACTTTGCACTGAATACCTTTCTCACTTTCATCTCCTCTGCCTTAGTCAAAATGGCAACAGTACAAAAACTTTTATCAACCTCAGAATTTATTAGCTATAATTAAGCTGTTGAATGAGTCTTAAAAAAAAAAGAAAAAAAAAATCATACTACTGTTAAGTGGACCAAGTTTGGTGAAGGAGAATGCAAGAGAATGATTAAAGAAGGAATAGCTCAAGAACATTGGGAATGATAACTTTCCACTTGAGAACTTTTTTATGTTTTACTGTAATTTGTTTGTGTTTTTGGGTTATATTTTTGTTTTGTTGGTTTTTCCTTTTTTTTTTTTTTTTTTTTTTTTCTTTTTTAGTTTGCCAATATTCTCCTTTTATTTTTTCTAATTAAATTGGCTGTAGTGCAGGAATGTAAATGTCAGATTTTATTGTATTTGCAGAGTATTAGCTTTGAAAATGAATAAAGAGAGCTGTTTGTAGTTTTAAAATGCCTTATTAGTATCAATTAGATATTTTCTCTATTTTTTCATGTACTTAGAGCTTTTTAAGTATAGACTTTAAAATGGCAGGACTTTTACAGTGTTTACATGCAAGTGCATTTTATAAGTGTCCTATATGTGTAAAATTATTGTATTTGCAGAGTATTAGCTTTGAAAATGAATAAAGAGAGCTGTTTGTAGTTTTAAAATGCCTTATTAGTATCAATTAGATATTTTCTCTATTTTTTCATGTACTTAGAGCTTTTTAAGTATAGACTTTAAAATGGCAGGACTTTTACAGTGTTTACATGCAAGTGCATTTTATAAGTGTCCTATATGTGTAAAATAGTATTTCGAACAGGAAAATGCTGGCTATAGTAGCAGGCTGAGCGTTTTCCTGGTTCCCACGATGATGCCTACGTTGCTAGACTACAGTTTAGTATTGCTTTGTATCATGAGGCCAAGAAAATTCCATGTTGTTTGTAAATAGAATAAATGAAAGGCAATAAAAAATTTATTGAACAAAAACCCTTTGTTTGGCCCATAGTTTGTTGAACCAAATTGTTTCTCTTAAGTTCAGAATTCCTTAGATGACTCCATTCTTTTAACAACCAGTTATTAATAATCACATCCATCATTAATAGTGCTTTAATGCTTGCACCTGGGGAGGTACTAATGCTTAATAGCAGTCAGATACTGATGCTGTGCACTGACTGTTGTTCCAGAAATCTTCTACCCAGTTCCAAAACTGTTCATCGTTTTTTGTTTTCCAATTTCCTTCATCGACTGCTACTAACCATTAGTCGTTAGTCGTATTTTATCTCTATTCCTCCTGTTAACCGGTTTTGTGGGAGTGGGCTTCTCCTTCACGTGTCCAAATCATGATGGAGGGCTGTCATGATTTTATTGCATTCTGTAGATGGTGTCGATCAGTATGTCAGAATTAAACATGCTTGTTTTTTTATTAGTTGCGATTAGTTTTCATGTTGTCATTAAGCCGTCACTAGCTGGAACTAATCTCTTCTCTATCTTTTCTTTCTTTTTTTTGTTTTGTTTTTTTTTTTTGTTTCTAACCACCCAGCCGCCACCGGCAACTAACCTATGACCTTCTGACCTCTGAACTCTTCACCCAGTGATGACCTGACCATGCCTGCCTGCTGATCAGTTAACTGGTAAACGCCTTTGCTTGCCTGTCTTCAGTGCAGCGAGCTGGGGCACTTGTCCGTTCGTCTTACCATCTAACAAAACAGACAAAGAAATTGTTGTCCTCCAACTCCGCTTTTTGTTGTTCTCCTGTTTGGGTGAAAGTGGTTCTAGAACCTGCACTGAATAGTAGTAAAGCAATAAGGTCCAACTCATCCCTCCGCACTGATCATCCTCTAGTGTCCTGCCCCAAGCGAACGGTAAGGAGGCCTCGCACGAGATGGAGACAGATGTCCCTTAACTACCCAATGACAGAGGCAGTTACTGTGAGAGACTTCTAGGAATATTTTTCTTCTCAGAAAAAAAAAAAAAAGTCAAAGCTCTCTCTGAATGTACTGTGTGATGATGCATCATGCATGAACCTTTGGTCAGGGATGTCATTGGGGAAGGGATTCTAAAAAGTATTCAAAATTTGATACGCTGTTTAGTCACTACCGGTGCCCTCAAAGGGCAGATGTTGCAGCCTTTTTTCTATTGCCTGCCAAATTGGACGTTTTAAAGGAAAGTGTGCCATGAAATGCAGATTATGATGACTTTTCAGAACTACATTAATGCAGAGAACAAAACAGCAACACTATTAAAGCGAAATCTGAGTTTAAATTATTTTAACCATGTTTTAATCTCCTTGGAAGATTATATGAGAACAAGGTACATGCATTATGTGTCACATTACTGGGCAAACTGTTCAAATATTTTTTTTAAACCTCCCTGTATAGAAAAAATTTCATTAAGGATGTAAAAGCCATGCTTGCCTATTTGCTGTATACATGTAATGAAATTGTAGATAAAGTGTAGTGCATTGAAACAAAATGAACAAAAAAGTAGATACTTTTACTATACAAGGGTGCTGGTGCAGAAAAAAAATATATTTTTGGAAATGTAGCATTTTATACTTTCAAGTGTTATAAAAAAAGAAAAAAAGAACAAAGAAACCCTTTATTTCATTAAATGATTTTTTCTGGTGGTTGTCAAGAAACAAAAGACCAAAAGAGCCTTTTAGTCTTTCTTTTTTATTTTTTAAGTATTGGAATAAGTCTAAAGAAAAGGAAGTGCCTTATTTTCTTCATGGTCATTTAGTCAAATGTCTTGTATAATCAGCTTCTCCCTCAGACAAGTTACTGCATGCCACTCAGTCGCCCAGTATGTGAAAGAAGCTGTGAGGGAAGACAAATGATGAGTTGACCATATTAATTACCTGATTTTTGCCATACTAGTGTGATGTGAATTTGCCAAAATCTCATTAGGTGAAATATTTGCTTAGTTTTTTTTTTGTCAAACCAGCCCGTTATTATTTCAACCACTCTACTTTTTAAATCATGGCAAATGCCGTACTTGTGCGACGTAAACCAAAGGGTTCTGTGATACAGACTGTCTCATGCTGAAGGAGATTATTAGCTGACAGATGTTTGTAGAGCTGGAAGTGTGTCATTTTTGTTCGGGGATGGAGAGGAGTTTTCTTGATTTCGGTTGAAATAAATATACATCGACTCTAGTCGGCTTCGGCATCATCCAGAAAACTGATGTTCTGTGGATAATGAAACTGAAAGTGCTTCGCTAGTTTTCCATTAGTTACTGAGCATGTCCCCAGCTTTGACAAACACCTCCTGCAGTGGCAAACAGCACGGAAGTTTTTTTTTCTTTCAGCTCGTCCTTGACTATTGTTAGATCTGCCCCATTGGCTTTTCTTCAAATGATAAGCAGGAGAGGGACATCAGCTAGTTGTTTGAAGTCCAGCTAAACTTTATTTTTAACCCTTGTTTCCACATGAGGTTCAAATAGCTGGGCAATTGCAAGAGCTGAAGCTGTTGAACGCACAGTATTTAATTATGAAAACATTAAGTATTACTTTGTGTGGGGCTCAGTACTAAACTTGGCAAATATCAGGTGATAATTTTATTCCCCTCTTGTCAACTTATTCTCCTCCTGCAAATTTTCACAGCTTCCAAATGAAAGGTCAATAGTAAGCTAAGAGGGCTTACATTTTTAAGCACCTGCATGGTGACCTCATCTAACATCTTGTCTCACCTGGAAATAATTATCAGTTTATTTACTATGCAATAGACATTCATCCTTTCGTATTCAGCTAGCTTTTTGTTTATTGTGCCACTGGCTTTGTCTTCCTGTTACACATACAGTTGTGTTGAATTTATTTACAGTATATGCTGTGCCATTTTGATTTTATTTTGGTTGGTTGGTTGAATAAACTTGCGACACTCGAACATTTGAAGAGAGATTTGCTAAAACAATACCAGTATTTGATCCAGTTTCATCTCAACTATGATAAAACCTGGACATTTTAGACATTTATCAAAGGTCTTTTACTGGGGGGGGGGGAGAAGGGGAAATGTATGGAATAGATGTGTGACATGTGAAAGTAATGTTTGCTCTGAACAAACTTCTGAAAACTTAGTTGACAAAATTTTGGATCAACTTAAAAAAAAGCATGACTTTTGAAATCTCTGAATGCCTTGGTTCTCAGTATTATCATTCTTTAATGACTTTTTCTTTATTAAAATAAGTAGTTTTAAGACTTCTTTCTGACAGTATTATGTAATTTTTTTTAGAGTGGGTAGATGGGAGTGTCGCTTGTATGTAACCGTACAGATGACATGTATTTGTCTATTCTTTATTATCTTAGTAGTTTCATGCTATGTATGTACCATAACCAACCTATTGCCTATGAGAAACATGTAAGATAATGTATTTACAGCCATTGTTACAAGTTTATAATGTATTTTTCTATCTTGTTTTATATGTATGTTATATAACATTCAAAAGAATTTTTTTCCTGATTGAGAAAAAAGGATACAAAATGCAAAACCCACAATTTTGATAACTGAAAAATTGCCAATTGTTTTGCAGTACTTTATTATATTGGGAGTGTTGTCTTTCTTGGGCTTTTAGTTAGCTACTGGTTGAATACATTAGACATATTTGGGTTTTAGTTGGGTTTTTACATAGCTTGCATTTTAATTCTTTGGTTCTTTGCTGTTTCTATTAACCCATAGCATTATTTTAATAAATGTTATAATACCAACTTACTAACTCTGGACTATGTCTGTTTATTAACCATTACATGTTTAATTAAAATAAACAAATAAAGACGGAAGAATGTAAAGTCTTGAGTTACTGGACTAACCCTGAAGAACGTGACCACAGATAACACAACGTGACTTGTTTTTATGTTGTTTGTCAGCTGACATTCTGCACACTACTATTAAGTTGGCTTTGGTCATTCTGGCCTTTTACCTTGGGGAATAGGTGCCAGTAGAAATGGGAACAAAGTAGCATTTTTTGAGGCATTCTTCTTGTAGAGTCTTGCCACTTGCCTTTCAGCATCTGCATTACTAATTCCACACTTTCTTTTTCTCTCTCTAAAATAATTACTGTCGGCTCACAGCAAAAGAGCAGAGATGCCAGTGTATTGGTAAATCGTGACGGTGTACAGAAACCAGTTTGATTCTTTGTTGAACCATTCAGAGGTTACAATTAATCTCACAGTAATGTGATTTGATGGTTTTGGCACCTGATTCACTGTTGCATCATGTGACCTTTTGAGGCACAAAATACTTTGCATAGAATTGCCGTACACTGAAATACAAAATCTGGAGGTTTTCCTTGCCAAGAGTGCCTTATTTTCTTCATGCCACGCTGTTTTCAAGTAACTTTTTGTTTTGTACTTCTGCTATAGTCTGTCAGTATTGCCTAGCTCAGGGGAAGTACAATTTCTGTAAGCCAAAGGTCAAACTGGATCTTTTCCTAATGACTGCAGAAAGTACAAAAATACACCTTTCACTAAATTACCAAACAACAGCAATTTCAAATTCCAGGGCTGCCTTTATGTGATTTTTATCCCTGTGGATGACTGAAACAACATGAATGCAGGGTATTGAAATGGGGAAAATGCTGTTTTGAATGTGTATCTATGCAAATATTTTTACAGAAACATTTCCCTTTCTTAGAACTACTGCTGTCTGAGGCTCCGTTACATTTCCCAGGTAGTCCTCCTCGATTTGTAATCTTAAGTGAACAGTAATTACAGCTAATGTGGAGGGAGATCCTCGAGGTAGATAACTTTTCAGATATCAGCAGTTTGTGTGAAAGCCCATTCTTTTTCCTGTAGATAGTAAAAATTCAGATGAGGAATTTGAATTTGTTCAAATGCCTCCTTTAATTTATGATATTTCAAACTATGTATCTTTAAATCCATGGAATATAAAACTTTAAAGAGTTCTCTCAGTAGTAATTAAAATAGAATATGTCTTTATTTTATGGAGAAAATTAGTCTAATTTTGATGATGTTAGCTTTCTAATGGCATGTAGTTGTTTGCTTTACAAAAACTTTAGGTGTAGATGAAAATACCAGTGCATTTCGAATAGTTTCACTTGTACAGAATTTATTGTTAATTTAACAGATCATCTTACTATCTTAAAAATCAGCCATAGGCAGATGATAAAGTTAAACATATACAACAGATAATATCAGGACCTTTTGACTGGATAATGACAAGTGTCATTACAGAGCCAATAATTAATATTCCTAAAGAATTTTATCAGAGGTACTTGGTGAAGTACTCTCTCCGGTATAGGTGCAACTATTCAGATGGAACAAAAGTTTAGCATGTTATATTGAAGAATACTTCTATTCTCAGAACTACTGCTTTTCTCTAATAATTTTATTATTTTGTATTTTTATTAGTAGATATTAGCTACTGTTGTACTTTGTCCACAGTGCATTTTCATCTCAATCTTCAGTATATGCAGTAGTGAAAGTTGCTGTAAGTTTTGAAGTACTTTAAATCTGAAGGACAGCAAAAAAAAATATTTAAAACTCTTAAATCAAAATATTTTACTCATTGTTGTCCACCAAAGGCATTTCTCAATTTACCTAAGTGCTTGTCTGAAAATTTAACTATTTTATACTTTGCCTGCTTATAGGAACGAAACAAAGTGCTTTTGTAATTTCTTACTATTCTGAGGCAAAATTGTCTTAGCATTTGAAAGATCATACATTCAAGGAAATTAGGTAATTGCTCTTCCATTCAATAAAGTTGGATTTATCTTAGGGTAAATCTATTTTTTTTAAGTAGGTCAGAATATAAAGAAAAACATCATCAAATCTTTCAAAGTAAAATCTGAGCAATGCTGTTCACATCTAAAAGTGAACTGTTGTACCAAAGTACAAGAAGTTTGATTTCTCCAAGAGTATTTTTGTGCATGTTATCAATCTACCATATATTTCATAAAGAGTCTTCAAGGAAATATTTCAAATATTTTTAATGAGCATATGTTCAGTGTATACTGACAATATTGATTTCTTATTTGAACATACCTTTTAAAAGTATGCCAAAATTCTACATGTAATGAATGATTTATTGCCAGATTGTACTCTATAAGGGGGACCACTAAAAGGTTTTCTGCCCTGAAAGTGCAGGGAAACATTGAAGTGTGTTGCCATCCATTAAGAAATTACTTTCACTGGGGGGAAACATGAATATATGAAACAGAATTCTTTGTGTCTGGGTAAAAATATCAGTTATCTTAAATAGCACATTGTACAGATTGGAATCTGAATAACACATTCCTAGGGCTGGAAGTATATAATTGTTACTGGAATTTCTATTTTGTTTTAATATATTTGATACATTTTTCTAAAACACTGTTAATGGAATACTGTCCAAATAACACATGAACCATAACATTAACACATGGTAATCAATGTTGAATCAAACTGGTTAACAAAAGTACAGTGCTCTTTCTTCTCTGTGCCTGCGCGCTAATTGCAGGTGGTTTGGTTCTGCGTAGGGGCTGGGGGTTAGGCACAGCAGGTTGCAATGCAAATTTCTTGGTGCCTGCAGTTTGGATGTCCGTCTTTGACAACAGACTAACTGGGAGGAATCTGCCTCCCAAGGCAAAGATTAACTGAGATCTGAACCTCTTCGCATTAATTGAAAAAACAGCAACAATAAAGTGACATATATACATATATGCTTCGACTTGTATTATGGCAGTTTGTGTGAAACATTAAAGGTTTTGTTTGTGCAAAATAATGTATACTGAGGGGAAAAGCAAACATGGACATTGCCAAAACACATGTAAATAAAACACCATTTATGACTGTACATTATGTGCAATAAAGTAACTGGAAAAAGTGCATGTACTTTATCCTCAAAAGCAAACTGACAGCTCTCAAAGCTGTAGCTATAGTATTATTTTCTGAAAAGTTAAATTTTATTCTGTACCTAAACAGCAGAATAAAGAATGTACATTTTTCACACTTAAATTTTCATTAATGCTTTTAGCACTGTTATGAAAGATGTTAATTGTTGAAGAGGTTTAAATTTTCATGGTCGTCTGATGATCAGGGTATATTTTGCTTAACAGTTTCTTATGGAATATGCTGTTGTTTGTAAGTGAAGCAGGTATGCATTATATATACCATAAACACGCAATACACATTTTACATACAGATTTGTGGAAACACCGATTCTATAAATTTCTGAAAGATGACCAAGTGATTTTGATGTTATTGTACTTTCGTAAGCATAACAGTTACAATTGTTCAGAGCAAATAAGGAAGAGTACTACTTCACTATAGCATCAACATACTGATTTGGGGGGGGAGTTTCTGATTACTGTAGAAAATGAAGATAAGTCTGTCACCCTATCTAGTCTGAACCCAATGAGATAACACCCTTTGGAGAAGAACTAGATTATAGTGTACATTTTCACTAATATTTATGTGATGATACCTGGTTTTACTTAAGGACAATTTCTTTACCAAGGTGTTCTTTGCTGCAAAATCCTACTTTGCAGCTTAAATAAAAAATCGTTTGCTTCAGAAGTAAGTGTGCAGGAGATAAAGATAAATGTGGTGTCTTCAGATGTGTGGTAGAGTAGGGGAGAGGAGGCTAAATGCCAATGTTAGAGTACACTTCCTCTACTAAAGTCTCCCAGAAGGAAGAAAACTTGGCATAATTAGCCTTCAGAGATACTTTCCATGATGAGTCCCAACTAAGTGCTGGCATATAGTTGTATCTGAACTAACTGCAATCTCAGTAGTTCATAGAATGTAGAGATCCTATTCAGCATGTGCCACTTGAGCAGGTAAAGCAGCCCTTGTCATCTCTGATGTTACTCTGGATGCCAAGGCAAACATGCCTGTGCCCTGCAGTCCTGGCTGGAAGTGTGGGCACAGCTTTGCTTTCTGTGCTGCCTTTGGCTGCACTGTGCAAACCCCCTCCTGCATACATCTGGATCCCTAGAAAACAGAATGGTGTTGACCTTCCTTATCTCTTCTACCAAGTCAGTAATATCTATTTATGGTCATGTTCATGCTAGAAATTGCATTTATTGGTCTACGAATTAAAGTTAGATGTGGATTTTAATGACTGGAAAATTTCTATCAACGGACTTTACTACTGTTCTTCACTGCCTATGTGTGTGTGATTTGGTATGATTATGAAGGATGGCTCCTCATGAGTTTTACTACAGTTACTGTAGTTCCTTTGAGGCAATACAAACTTAA